CCCTCTTTTGGCCCCCCCCCTGCCATAACGGGTTTTCCCTCGTCCCTTCTGCTGGGGCTGCTTGAAATGGCCCCTGCTGTCTCCCCCGCAGGCACAGGCCCTGAGCTGCTTGGGGTGGGATCAGCCCCATCCAAACCACTACCCCCAGCTTGGTGTCATTTGCAAACTTGCTGAAGCTTCACTGTATCCCATCTGCCAAATCATTAATGAAGACATTGAACAAAACCGGCCCCAAGACCGATCTTGCTGCTGGGAGGGTCTCCTGCTTCTCCTTGGCCATGTCCCGTGACCGATTTGCCCTCTCTGCCCCAGGCAGGTGGACACAATGTGCAAGCTGCAGCAGCAGGTCTCGGGGCGTCCCGCAGCTGACGTCATCCTCCAGCTGCCCGACGAGCCCGTGTCCTTGCAAGATGCCCCAGCCGGGCTATTTCGTCTGCCTGCCGGGGACCCCTTTGGAGACAGAAAAACGGTGCTGTGGCTGGGGGTGCTGTCCCTGGGCTTCGTCCTGGTGTGCGACCCGCACGAGAACTTGATGCTGGCCGAGAGCACCCTGCGGCTGCTGGCACGGTACCTCCTGGACCACCTCCGGCTTCTGGGGCCAGGCAATGACATCGTCCTCAAGGCCGACAAGACCGAGGTCATCCTGAACAAGGTCCTGCCCCACGGCCAGCTGCTGTTCCTCAACGACCAGTTCGTGCAGGCGCTGGAGAGGGAGCTGAGCGCCACCCTGCCCAAATAGGGGGCTCTGACTGCAGTGGGGTGGGAAGACCGTGGGACAGCTGCTTGTCATGTGGTCATGGCAGAAACCCCCCCCGTCACTTGCTCCAGTTAGACAGGAGCTAGGGCTGGGGTCTGCAGTGCAGCCAGCTTCCCTTTCTCCTGGCTGGTGTGAGATGAGGAGCCAGCCTGCCTGTCTCCTGCAGGGGCCTGGGGAAGCCAGGGGGAAAATAAAAGCAAGGCCAGGAAGGAGGTCAGAGCTGCCAAGGAGCAACCAGCAGCAAAGCACAGGGAGTAGACACTGCTTCGAGCATCTCTGCCCCGGGGGGTGCTCAGATAAAGGCCTTGGGGCTTAGGGAGCATCACTGCCATCCCCTTCCTGCACGGATGGGTGGGCAGGGCAAGGACGGGCCTCTCCTGTGAGCAGCCAGTGCCGACACGGCCTTTGCACTGCATTGGCACCTGACTAGACCGATTAAAGCAGCCCGTGGACTGCACTGCTTGTGAATGGTGCTCCCGGTGTGCTGTGGGGCAGGACGGGGCACATCGGGAGTAAGATCCTGGTGGGAACGGGCCCCTCCCGGGCTGACTTGGCGTGTGGTTCAGTTCCCTGCCTGCTGGGCCCTGCAGTACTTGCACCACACAGCTGCACGTGGCGGTGCCTGCACTGAGTGTGGGCATTCAGGGCCTGGGTGGTGCCAGGGGCAGCCTGGGAGGCTGGACCCTCAGCTGCTGCTGGGCCCGGACTCCTTGGTGCCAGGACTCCGGGTGTTTGTGCTGCAGCTCTCATGAAATGCCGCTGTCCCTGGTCTGGGTTTCCAGCTGTGCTGCAGTGATGTGGCCCAGCTGACCCCTCACCACTTGGGCTCCTTCCTGGACCTTTTACAGACCTGGGAGTGCATCTGGGGGGCCTCTATGCTGGGCTCGGCACAGACCCAAAGGGCAGTTCCTGCCCTCAATAGCTTGGTTGGAGCAGAAGTAGAGCGTTATGCAGAGAGGAACATGCCCAGACATGGTGCCTGATCACTTGGCATTTCTCCCCCTTTAAGAAAGCAGAGGTAAAGAGGTGTGTGTGGTCCTCTCAGCCCCCCACCGCAGGGCGGGGACAGGCTGGGGCTGTAGCAGCACCTCTGGCTCTGGGTCGGGGCATTGGGAGCCGGGGCTGGGTCCTGGGCACAGCATCTTTTGGGCCTTTCAGGCTACCACATCCCAGCCAGCTCAGGGCCTCGGGTCCCACACACAATTTATGGTCCTTAACACTAGAGCTGTGTTTGCCTTCATACGATGTGTAGTGTCCACAAAAGCATTGGCAACAACACCAATAATTGCAGAAGCACAGAGCAGTTGGGCTGAAGGGCAGTGCCCTGAGCTGCACCAGCCCCCATAGGAAATCCCCCCCGCTGGTGGCACCAAAGGCGTCTCTCGGACCTCGTGGAGGTGGTGTTCACACCAGACCCTTTATCTGGCAGATCTCCCTGCTCAGACACCCATGGGTGCTTGTACACAATATTGGCTTTTTCTGGCTAAAGTTAATCTCAAGGTTTATTTCAGTCTTGCAATGTACCACAATGATTCCCCTTCCTATTTTGCACAAAACACCTTTAACTCAACTGGTTAATGTGCTCCTACTAGTAAAAAATGCTGGAGGGCACCTGGTGGACAAATGTCAGAACAGGGGGAAATGGCCATTTTAGCTGCGTGCAAGAATACATGTCACAAAAGTCACACGATAAAATTAAACCTGGTGGAACAATTGGCCACGGTAAAAATAAAACGTGTCGGAGGTGGTCTAACTTGCTACGATAAATGGAAACCTACCATGATAAAAAAAAATAATTAACGTGTATTTTCATATACAACTAACCTAGCAAAATGGCGATGAGAATGGGCTGAGAATGTGAAGGTGGAAGGTTTTTAAGGCCTTGGAGGTTTTCAAGTCCTGGCTAGACCAAGCCTTGGCTGGGATGATGTAGTTGGGGCTGGTCCTGCGTGGAGCAGGGGGTTGGACTAGATGTGACCCCCTGAGGTCCCTTCAACCCTCATTGTCTGTGAATTGGGGAAGAGTGACCATGAAATGAGGGAACTTGAGATCCAGAGGAGAAGAAGGAAGGAGAGCAGCAGAATAAAGGCCACTGGATTGAGAAAAGCAAATCTCAACTAGCTCAGGGAGCAGGATGCTCTGGGAGGCAATTCTGAGGGGATAAGGCATCCAGGAGAGCTGGCTGTGCTTCAAGGAGGCCATCTGAACAACCAAAGAGCAGGCCACCCGGATGCAAAGGAAGTACAGGGAGTACAACAGAAGACTGGCCTGACTTTGAGGCATTGAACATCAAAAAAGAACTGGAGGGAAAGGGGAAACTTGCCTGTTTTGCTGGAAAAGAGTATGAACATGTGGCACGGGCTTGCAGAGGGAAAATCCTACGGACCCACTGAACCCACGGAGCAATGTCATTACAGATGATGCGAAGGCAGGAGTATTTAATGCCTTGCTTACTTCAGTCTCACAAATAAAACCAGCTACTGGATAGATTGCAAAAGCAGTTGGCAGCAAGGAGAGCGAAGATGAGCACCATAGGGTAGTGGAAGAACAGGGCAGCGGGATGCCAGCAAGGCTGGACGAGATGCATCCTACTTAGGGGATTAGCAGGGAGAATTTCACAGCCGTTGGCTATTCTCTTTGAGAAGTTTGCGGAGGTTGGGTGAGGTCGTCGCTGACTGGGAAAGGGCAAACCTAGGCAAACCCATCTTTAAGAAAGGCAAGAAGGAGTTTCCAGGGCATTGCAGACCACTCAGCCTGACCCCCTTACCGGGAAAGATCACAGAGCAGGTCCCCAAGGAATCTATTTTGAAGCACCTGGGGGCAAACAAGATGTTTAGAAACAGTCAAGGTGGATTCAGCAAAAGCAAGACATGCCTGGCCAGCCTGATTTCCTTCCATGACAAGGTAATGGGATCTGTGGACATGGAGAAAACAGTGGATATGATATGCCTTGATTTTCACAAGGCTTTTGACACAGCCTCCTGTTATTTTATCAGTCAACTAAGGAAATACAGCCTAGTTGAAAGTCCTATAAGGTGGATACATGAGTGGTTGGATCGCTGTTCTCAAGGAGGAGTCACCAATGGTCCTGTGTCTATTTGGTCAGACATATGGAGAGGGGTCTTGTCCTGACTCCACTACTATTTACTGTCTTTATTAACGATCTGGAGGATGGGATTGAGGGAACGCTCCCATTTGCAGGTGACACTCAAGTTGGGCGGTGCAGACGCTGGAGGAGGGCAGTTAAGATTCAAAATGACGAGTTCCAAAATGAATTAAATGGATTTAATTTGAATTGAAAAAAGCACTTAGAGGCTGTGTCTACATGAGATGCTTAATGCACAATAGCCTAATAACACTGCGCAGTGGTGCATTACTGCGCGGACAGTAATAATATGCTGCCGTACAGGATTATTAGGTGACTGTGCAGCAGCAGCACCAAAAAGGTGTTCACCAGGGCTACTGGGCAGTAACTGTCTGCATGCTTACTTAGTTCCTCATTAAATAAATACTAAATTAAACACATAGTAACTGCTGCACATTAATGAACTTGTAGACGTGGCCAGTGTGTATGGAATTAAGAGGTCCAGGGGGCAAAACTGGCTGACCGTTAGGGAAGGCATTTATAGCAAGCTGGGGACACAGGAGTCAACTGAGCTGAGTCCAGCAGGTCCCCGGGACCGGTTCTTGGCCCACCACTGTTCGATATGTCAATCAAGAGTTGAGGGGATATAACCCCAGGTCCTTTCAGATCATCGCTTCCCTTGCAGGGCGCTTGTCAGAGCAGGCCTGTTTGGTCATCTGAACTGAGCAGCACTTCATCAATTCGCTCGCGGTGCCTACACAGTTGCACAGAGAGAGAATGTGTGTGTGATCAAGCATCGGTGTCACCAACGGTGTCAGTGTGTCCTGAACAGAAAACAGGCAGGCTGCGTTGTGAGGCCGCCCTGGGCAGAGCAGGGCAAGCGCCCGGCAGCTGTGCTGGGATCGGCCCCTGCTATATCGTTACGATCGCTCCCAGCCACCGCGAGGCAGCCGTCCTCTGGTACCTCCAACACGCTTCTGCAGCAGCCCTTGAGGATGCTCTTGTCTTACAGCAGTGCCAGGGATGCAGGTCCTGCTAGATAAGCGGTTTAGTAAGAACAGGACTATCGCAGACCTGCTCGAGAGCAAGTGCTACAGATGCTGGCTAAGTCTCTCAGGCCAGGCCACCTGGATCCCTGAAGCAGAAGCATGCCTGGAGCATTATGCAGCTCCGATGGAGAGGAGCTCTGCAATGCCTGGAGTATTGTGCAGCTCCCTGGGTCTGTGCAGGGCTCAACGCCTCACTTCTCTCTGCTAAAGGAGACCTAAAACCTCCCACTTCCTGCCCCCCGCACGCCCGGCTCCGCTTCAGTGCTGGGGCTGGGGCTGGGGCTGGACCCGTGACACCAGCCACTGCCGCAAGCCACAGCTAAGAATACATCTGCCGGGCCAGCCACAAGCTAGAGCCCGGTTTATTCAGGCCCGCAAAGCCCTGGGAAAGCAGCAGCTGGATCCCCTCGGAGCGAATCGCCCACCCCAGAGACAGGCTGTGATCTGCGCGCCCCGGGACGGGGTGCCGGATGGATGCTGCAGGGAGCGGGGCGCCCCGCCCAGGGAGCTGCCCTCTGTGCTCAGCGTGGGTCCGAGGGGCCGAGTTTGCTTGGGTGGGATCTGGTAGCGGCTGCTTTCGAGGTGCGGCTGCTGGGGTTGGGCTGGCCAAAGGTGACGCAGGAAACAGCTCGGATACGAGTTGGGTGGCGAAAGCCCAGAGGTTTATTGTGGTCGGCAGCACACCAGGTGCTCCGAGTAGCAACCAGTGCAATGCAGCCAGGTTTGTCCTCGACAGGTTGAGACACCAGACGTTATTCCTGCTCCCCTAGGTCCCTACCAGGGACCCCTGTATTTACACTTCCCTGCCCCGCCGTCTCGAGCCCCTTCTTATCTCTCTCGGGAGATGTTCCTCGTCCATCTGCTCACCAAGCTCGCGCCCCTGCTCTCTCATTAGTCAGTGCTCGCTTCCACTTGTCGCCGCTGCTTTCAAACTCCTCTCGCTGTCTTTATGCTCATGATCGTGGTCTTGTTTTTCTCCCTTTCTTACTGGGTTTTCCAGTGATCAGGGGCCCCTTACTTCCATACGGTTTCTCAGCACTGTGATTTAGTCCGGCCTGGCGTGCCTGCGGCCTGGCCCAGCCAGAGGTCCTGCACCCACCCAGGAATCATTGGAGGAAAGTCAGCAACCTGGAAGATGGGATGCCGCGCACCCTCAGCAAGTCTGCACGTGACCCCCAGCTGGGGGAGCAGTGGATATGCTGGAGGGTTGGGCGAGGATCCAGAGTGACCTCAACAAATTGGAGGATTGGGCCAAAAGAAATCTCATGAGGTTCAACAAGGACAAGTGCAAAGTCCTGCACTTGCGGGGAGTAATCCCCTGCACCGGTGCAGCCGGG